GGGGAGCGAGCCCGGGCGGGGCTGCGGGCAGGACCCCCAGGGGAGCGAGCCCGGCCCGGCCCCCAGGGGAGGCGGGGAGCAAGCCGGGTACGGGGCCCTGCTCTCGGCAGGTGCAGCGCCCCGGTGAGCAGAGTTTGTCTCACACCCGACGGGAGCGGCGCTGCGGCCCGCCCGAGGGTGCCTAGGCGAGTAGAGACTTTGGCCAGGTGTCTGCCTGGCTCCTCCCGCCTCCTCAACACGCAATGGGCTTCCCCGCAGCGCTTCCCGGCCCCGCCCGCAGGGCTCCTCCTCGGCACACAAAGGGCCCCCACCCCTCGGTGCCTCCCCCAGCCCGGGAGCTCTGCGGCGCCCGCTCCCTGCGCGGGGCGTTTCCCCCGCTCCCCCTGCCGCCGGCGGGCCGCAGCCAGGCTGGGCTGGGTCGGGTCCTCCCCGATCTGTCGGAGCCGCAAGGAGAAAGCCTGGCTCGTAATTGCTGAATGAGCGTGACTCGGGGCTCGCCCAGCCTCTGCCAGGGACACACCAGCGGCGGGACAGAGGCAGGCACTGGCAGACTGCGCCGGAGGGGCTGGCTTGCTGCTCCGCCGGCGGGGGCAGAATTGGGGATCCTTCCTGCGGAGAGAGGCGAGCTGACTTCACGCTGCCCCTGGAGTGATTCTGCATGAGCATTGCAAAGGTAGGAGACCTTCCGCAGGGGGAATGGCACTGCACCTGCCGATGCGCATATATGCTGCCATGTATTGTGTGAGCCACTCTGTATGCACAAGCCCCACATCTCTGCAGTGCAATAGATCCGCAGATCTGCTGCAGCAAGTGACCTCCGTAAATCTTAATCTACCTGTGACATTCAAACCTTTGGAGTAATCTGAACAGTTGGCATTCATATGCTGCCTTCCTGGCCCGCTGTTGGGGTATCCAGCAGTCAATCTGCATTCCCTGGAAATGGACCTGGCATTTCCTTTCTCAGCTGTGTGGATGAATTTGGTTCTATACACTTTCCCTTTCAAGAACTCCAAGGCTGCTCTGGAGATGGGGTGAGCCCTTTGCAGCAGCCAACCCTGTTGAATATAGTTACAGAGAAGGGGTAAAACCTGATGCTGACAAACTGTTTTGCTGTGGGCTGGGGTTCAGGAAGATTTGAGTGGTTTGTCACTTGGGCTCCCATCAGAGGGAGGGAAGCTGCAAATGCTGGCTATGGAAATAGGGTGACCAGACAGCAAGTGTGAAAAATCAGGATGGGGGTGGGGTGTAATAGGAGCCTATATAAGAAAAAGACCCCAAAATGGGGACTGTCCCTATAAAATTGGGACATCTGGTCACCCTATATGGAAATGATGTGCGTTAACTGTGAAGCGCTGAGTGCAATAATATGTTTGTGTTCTGTACTGCCTGGGAGAATAGCCCTGCCTTGTATCTTTGTGCTCTGTATTAACCTGGGCAACGCAAGGTCAGCCCTCGTGAAATGGGAACAGGCCTGTGCCGAGTCCCTGCACTGGGACAAGGGTCTTTGCTGCCCCTCAGAAGAGGGGACTTTCTGGGGGATCTTGCCTAATGTCATTTGTCCTGCTTACCACTTGCTAATTATTCCGAAGGGCTAGAGCCCTGGTCCTTTGTTGACAATGCTGCAAGTAAAGGGCCTAGGAAAAGCTCAGTGACCAGTGCAAGGCCAGAGACTGATTCCAAAAGACCTTGGAAGCCAACAGCTCTGGGGGACTTTGCGGATCCTCTCCCGACAAGTGCCATTCCCTTATTAACTTTGTCGTACCAAATGCAGGGCTTGATGGGGCTGCACACATTTATGCAGCTGAAGATCTGGGCCAATGTGTTAATGGAGAACCGTGTTTGGGGAACATGTGTGAGTGTACAGGCGTATGTACGGGCGCACACAAACTGTATATAGACACGCACATTTGCGCTCTCACTCACACACACTACACGTACACACACAAGTAGGAACAGAAGACAGTATCTGGTGTATATGGGGATGGGGTGAGTGGCCTGTATTCTCTGTGATGCAGTGGCCTGATGTGAGCAATGGACTCTCCACATGCTAAATTCAGTACCAGCGTTTCACCTTCTTCTAGACTCTGGGCTTTCTCTTTTCTGAATTAATCTCCCAGAGACAAACCTGTCTGCTCTCTGCTCCTCCATGGAGGTGAATGGTGCACCTGAGTGAGGAGGTGGATAGCCACTCTTCACTTCTCTGCTGTGACTCCGGCAGCAGGCCCTTACCACGTAGGGGCTGGGTACAATATTTCTGCACAGAAAAGTCCCTGTTCCAATAGTGTAGCTGGCCCTTTACCCGGAGGCTGCTGCTTCTGGATCCTACCCTGCTTTTAGTTGGTCATCTGGGTGGGACTCCAATATCAGGTTCTCTAGGAGCTTTAGGTGGGTCTCTCAGGAAGCAGAGCCATGAGCTGCAGACACCAGTTCAAGCTGGTGGGTGGGCCGTTATCTGTCCACGGTGACAGGTCAGCCGTTACAGCTCTCCATTCGGATTCCTGGCCTAGGTTTATTATAATGTCCTTTGCACTCTTCTGGTCACTTTCCCAAGGGTCTTTATAGACATGGGAACGTTGCCTTCCAGAAGCCCCGGAGGAAGATGGGGCACAGCGAGTGAGCCACAGGCAGAGAAACTGGCTGGTCCAAGGTTGTGCAGCAGCTGTGTGGGCAGAGAGTCCCCCACGATTAGGAGCATGCAAAGCTGGTTGTGAACAACTTCACCAGCCCAGGTCCCATACTGTGTGTAGCTTGGTCCCAGAGCCCCTCACAAATTCCATCCAGTCCAGACCCCCCAGATGCTGCCTGTTGGGCTCGGCTTGCAGCTGTTTCTCATAGGCAGGACACAACTTAATGGTTATTTTAAATCCAGCTCAGAAGCTGCCTAATGACATGCAGGGAATCTTAATGTTTAATCAACAGTCACCTCTCTGGGTAAGGGCAGTCATGCCACCCATCCACCTGTTCCCAGGGTCCAGTGCAGCAGCAGCTAGTGCTGCCTTGTTACCATCAGTGCCAGGCACCAGGGAGATGACTAGCAGAGATGGGTGAGTGCAGAACACAGGTGTTTCACTAGTGCCCCTTCCTGCTCTCTGTAGTCAGTGCCAGGGCATTCCTGCCTGAAGCACAGCTTGGTGGTATGAGAAGGATGGAGGATTTACTGAACCCCCTGGGATCCCTATGCAGCAGGCCACATGCAGCTCAATGTACTGCCCCGAGAAGGATAAAGGAATGAGTTGACCCTGCCAGGATTTGAACCTATGGCTCCAGGGAATCTGTATATATGATCCCCAAGGCTTTTGAACACTAAGCAGTCCCCTCTGGCATGACAGCAGCGTGCTGGCTGAAGGACCCTGAGCTTGACCTTGCACAGTGCTGCTGAGCAGCTTTTAGAGGGTGCTCAGCACTGCAGGATGAGGCTCTTGAGGCCGTGCGGGATCGGGGATGCATAGTGTGGGTGGGGCTCTGCTCTATGTTCAGTTCCCCAGGTGATGTTTGCTCCTGGAAGACTCTAGACATCTGTGGGACGCTCTCAGCACTGGTGTCAGTGGAGATGTGTGCAGGGGAAGCAGGATTGTGTAGTAAGAATGAAGCAGCTCCTTCTGCATTTCCTGTGCCTGCAAACCGCTGAGGCAGGTGTGTCACTCTGTCTGTTTTACCATGTGATCCTCTTTTGGGATTCTTCCTCCGGTTAATTCCAAGTAACTTTGTATTGTAGCCATTACAGGCCCAAATCCAGTTACATCACTGTGACCCCATTGACTTCACTGGAGCTGCAGGAGCATAACTGTGGGCAGAATACGGCCCGTGGATTTCATAGCAGACGTACAAAGGGCTCCCTGCTGCAGATGCATTTGTAACATAAGGCAGAGTCCCTGCTCTGTCAGCCAAAGGCAATAACTACTGTGAAAACCCTCAGGAAAAGTGCAAATGGCCTAACAAAGTAGTTCTGACCAGCACTGTGCAGCCTGTGTCTTGCTCCATTCTCCACCTCCATCACACATGGTGCTGGAGACCCTCCTCACCCCCAGCATGCCTTTCCATTGATGAGCAGCAGTGGCACTCACAGCTTTGGGCTGTTGTATCTTTGTGCTGTCTCCATTGCACTGAAGTTAATGGGAGTTTTGCGACTGACTTCAGTGGAGCCAGGTTTTCATCCATAATTTTAAAAAAATCCCTAAGGAAATCAGACCTGCTGCTATGCTCACATTACAGTCACAAGGGCCTAATCTCCCTCCTCCTCGCCCAACCCTCCAGGAAAGACAAACTCGACTGGCTGATTCAAAGACTCTTTCAAATGCACTGGGATATTCTGAATTCAGAGCATTGCAGCTTTTTGTGGGCCTGGGCTAGGTCCAGCCCAGTCTGTGGGAGCTCTCGCATCAGCACCCTTGAGGCTGTATGTGGAGCACACGTGTGCCACTGACTTGTGAATCATGTGGAGCAGTGGTTCTCAACCAGGGGCGCACACATCCCTATGGGTACGCAGAGGTCTTCCAGGGGGTACATCAACTCGTTACCTAGTTTTACAACAGGCTATGTAAAAAGCACTAGCAAAGTCAGTACAAACTAACATTTCATACAGACAAATGACTTGTTTATATTGCTCTATGTACTATACTGAAATGTAAGTTCAATATTTTATATTCAAATTGATTTATTTTATAATTATACAGTCAAAATGAGAAAGTCAGCCATTTTTCAGTACTAGTGTGCTATGACACTTTTGGATTTTATGTCTGATTTTGTAAGCCAGTAGTTTTTAAGTGAGGTGAAACTTGGGGGTACACAAGGCAAATCTGACTCCTGACAGGGGTGTAGTGGTTTGGAAAGGTTGAGAGCTGCTGCTCTGGAGTATAAGGAGGATTGCTGTTCTCCAGGCCACTCTGTGAAGCACAGAGCTCAATCCGCTGCACACTCGGCCAGCACGATGCCCTCCCCTCCCCTGTGCCAGGGCCACGGTCCAGTCCATGGAACACAGGCACATTGCTGTCACGGAGTGTGGGGGGACACAAGGCCCTGCACCCCCGGCTTCCTGCGATTCACCATGACTCTCAGCCAGCCAGTAAAGCAGAAGGTTTATTTAGACGACAGGAACACAGTCCAAGACAGGTCTTGCAGGCACAGACAACAGGATCCCCCCCAGTTAGGTCCATCTTGGGGTCCCAGGGCACCACAGCCCCCTTGGGAGGTCAGAGCCCCATCTGCCTCCCAGCCATTCCACCAACCATCTCTGAAACACTCCCCCCAGTGTCTCCTCCCCCCAGCCTTTGTCCAGTTTCCCGGGCAAAGTTGTCACCTGGCCTCTAACTCCTTCCTGGGTTCTCACGTTACATGCTCAGGTATTCTCCCTCACGGCCAGTCTCCCATCCCCCCATGCAGACCATCCTAGCCACACTCCCCTGCCTTCCCAGTCAACACTCGCCACTCAGCATTCAAAGACCACATACCACATTAAGAACAGTCTCAGTTCGTCACAATGGCCATTCTACATCAGACCAGCATTCCATCCCGCCCTGAATCCCGGCTCTTGCACCAGCACCAGCTGCTTCGGAGTAGGTGCAGGTATCCCCATAATGGACCATTAGGCAATAACCTGGCAATAGGGGACGTTTCAGCCTGAGCCCAGGCAGTTTGTGTTTGGCTTCTTCCCTGAAGCACAAGGGCTTATATCTG